TTTCATGTGAACGAAGCCTTACTGTCGCTCCAAGCTGACACACACACACACACACACACACACACACACACACACACATATATATGAGTGCAAATACAAGGCTTTTTTCATGATACCTACCTGTGTGTGTGCGTGCATGCATGCATGCACACAAGGGAAAGGGGAAAACTTTGAATTAATATCATTATAGAAGGTCTCACCTGTAAGCATGACAGACTGTAACTTGATAAAGATGACAGCTGACTTTTGCAATCCACTAATCTCTTCTGAAAATGTTCCACCTGGAATTTCAACTCGCAATGCAGCTCTGCAATCTGTCCAAGTAGCATCTTTTCTCGTTTGCCATAATTTGTCGTAAGTTTCCGCAGCTGGTTTTTTGACGAACGAAGCTCCAATTCTTGACTGGTCACATGATTTCGTAACGCCTGTACGCAGTCGTGATTTTCTGAATTCTTTGGCATCAGGGGCAGTTGGCATCCCTTCTGGCAAAATCCTTGAGGGCGAAACGAGCACCATGTGGATTCGTGTTCCTCCAATGCATTTAAACTCACCTTAGTTTCACAGCCCTGGTTTCTACACTGTATTGGTCTCCACCTACATTCTTTCATATGCCTCTGTAAAGATGACAGTTTCATTCTCTCCTGGCAACCTCTGGTGAAATATTCACAAGAAACTTCCATGTGTCTTGTATTGTATTGTACCATCTATGAGGCACTGATATACTTATACAACAGTTCCCTACTTTCTATATTCTCCTAAAATCCTTTTAAAAAGAGACCCTCTATAATAAATTTCCAAAAAAAAAAAAAAAAATCTGCTGATAATCTTCTCCCACGTTGCTCAACTTTGTAGAAATGTCAAGTTCCCTGGTATTTTTAAGGGTATCAATCCTGTGAAAAAAAAAAGCGCAAACCGATTATGTATGTAAAAAAAAAAAAAATAAACATCAACAAGAAAAGTTGAGATTATAAGAAAAAATATAAAAGAGAAATGCAGACATGTGCACCACTGTCTTCAGAAGCACTTTTCAGTTCTTTGCACCGATGTTTCACCTTAAACTGAAATTACTCGGAATACGCTGTTGGCCAATACTGCGTCCGCGTTAATGAACATCTGATATAGCCTACGAGCGTCCATTAAAACGCAACAACTGTCACTGTCAGCTCACCAGATATGTAACAACAAACAAACACAGCAACGTGTAACAAACAAGCCTTGCGACAGCCTCCACTGGCGTTGACTGAAACTGAAAATGTTTCTGTCCTGTAATATTATTGTGTTCATTATTCTACCAAGTCACTGCCCGCCTATCGCTGCCTCCGAGGAACGCGGCAATTACAGATAATCTCCTTACTGCTCCGCGTGCTGGCTGTTTGACTGGGAATCGATCCATGATTTCTCAGAAAATGACGGGGAAGCTCTTATCACCATGATGAAATAGGACGTTACGCTCGAGCCATGTGCTCCGCCGTGAACATGGGTTCGAGGCTAATTGTTTCACGAGACTCTCCCCCCCCCCCCCCCACACACACACACACACACACACACACACACACAAACCACCGCTCTGAGCCCTGTCATGATGTGGTTGGTATTTAATTTTTAAGATTAATTGAGGGTAGGATATTCCGATAAGATATTAAAAGATGTTCCCTCTAACTGTCGGATCTAGGATTTTACTGGAGGGGCAACTGGATAGGGAAAAATTGTCGAGCAAATCAAATATAAAACAGGCCATTCAAAAAATCAATGAGTCGTGTAGGTCTGGGGTACATGGATGAAAGACATATACAAAGATCATTTGTTTTTTATCTCGTTTCTCTGGTAAAACTTTTTCATGTGAGAAGAGAAAAAGGGGTAGGCCTACCGCCTTGGCACCCCCCCCCCTTCCTCGGACCACCTCTCTCCCTCTCTCTCTCTCTCACACACACACACACACACACACACACACACACACAGCACGTCCACACATACTCAATGGATAGCAGTCCCACCGATTGTTCCGATGCGGAGCAGTGTTTTCCAATATTTAGTCCGGTGTAGTTAGGCCCTACAACTTGTCGCGTTGTCTCAAAATCACTGCTGGATCAAGGAGATAGTGAAGACCCTTTTCTGTCACCGATTTGTATATTTGTTGCTTATTGTTACCAACTTAACTCAATTTCGAGAGGAGAAATATTGCATATTTTTCGACGGGTTATTAGAACTAATTTCGTTAGTGTTTGCGCTAGTCAATGTTTCTTTTGCGTGTCTCAGCACCTTCGGTTTTTTCTTTTTCTTGAAATCATGATGCTTGAAAACTGTAACTGACAGTAATAAAATTATTGAATTGATCAATAGCTGTCATTTCTTTTAATTAAGCATCTTTTATCATAATAAGAGGACTGATTCCCTTCACCCCGACAATTGATCCAATCTTTAAAGCCAAAAATTTTAGTCTTATTCTACCCCAAAAAATCACTATCTATAAAAGTTTTATAATAACTTGGACGATTTAAATGTCCAAGATGATAACAAAGACGTAAATAATGCCTCAGACTACAAGTTAAGTAGACTGTCATGGATTTACTTTGCATTCAAGTAGACCATTTTTTTAGTCTTATAGATTAAGGACAATTTTCCAACTTGAGTTTTATTTATATATTCATTCATTTATTTTATCAAAAAAGGGGGGTTCATCTTGATAGGTCATGGCTACCTTTAATTTATGCTTTGATGACTACATGAATTGGGAAAAATCTGATCATTAGAAAACGCCCCCTTTTATCAGTCTGACCAAGCAGAAGAAGTCACGACACCAAATAATTGAATAAGTCACCACTTGCTCATTTCAATGGCGACACGGCAGCGGTGCGTCGGCACCATCAAAGGACAGAATAAAGTTAATAAACAGGTTAAGCAGCTGGCCGATGCGTAACAGTGGTATATAACAAAGGTTGATTTAAGCTCCGTGATTGTATTAACAGTGGACAAGAAATCTTTGAATCTGAAGATCTGTTCAAGTGCCTTTGGTCTACTCAGCGGGATTAACGCCATGCCTGATCGGGGCCAAGTATAATCCAGCACAGCACGAACTTGGATAATGACGATCGACAATAGTGGAACTCTGTGATTACAATTGATGGTTCTGAAAACCATTTGCTCGTTTTAACATTTAGCTAATTATAAAAACACCTGGACAAGTAGGTGTACATTCAACATCCAAGGCGTTTAGACGGATCGTGTTTAGTTTAAAAACTCCTAATGTTATGCTTTTGCTATTATCTATATTCTTTGTAAGTTATTTCTCACAAGACCGATATGCCACTATCATTAGCGATTTTTTGTAGGAACAGTTTTGTAAAGGGCAATAAATGCCATCTTTATTGATATTATTACCTTTTTTTCTTTTCTTCTGTTCTGGGTAAAGCGACTATTATCTTCACGACGACGTGCGTTTTTATTCATATTAAACTAAAAAAAACTACCGAAGATAAGAATCGTAAGTTTCAAGTCCATATATGTCAGATTCTTAACCCCCTGCCATTTACTAGTATTACATGGGATGTATGCAATGTTTTAGGCATACAAACTTCCATTAGCCCTATATTTCTTATTATTAAGATGAATATCTCAAAATTGGAAATAACACATAGGGATTCCCCATACCTAGAAAGACGGGACAAAATTATTCACAAATTCAACAATTTGTTTTAAACGTGTGCAATCGGTAATGCTGGGCTTCAAGGGGAAGTGATTGAAACTGCAATCTTGGACGTAATAATTTTGTCCATGCCGCAATCAAGTCCTTTTCACCAACAACCACGTGCCCAGTATACGACACAATGGAGCGGTTTGAATGGGAATTGTGCTTGGTGTGACAAGTCACTCAACAAACGCATTTTTCCTGGACAAGTGATGTTATGGCACAGAGTTGATTCTGACGATTTTTTTCATTGTGAAAGGCCAGTTTAACTACTTCCCCCTCCCCTCTTGGTATCTCAGTCTACCAATGCAATGCCCTCAGTTTGTGAGTTCAATAAAACAAACTCTGCACAAAATGATTTTTTTTCATATTTATTTTCAGTAAATAACACACAGAACATATCTTTCACAATGCATCCCCCAGAAGACCTTTTCTTAGGCTACACCATTCTGTTTATTTCTGAGAAATTTGACTGAAAATCATTTCACACTGAAAAACCTTCAAATATATGGATACATCCACTAAGCTTCACTTGTCAGGAGAAGCTGTTTAAAAAGATAAACACCCCTTGTTTGTTTTACAAGAAAAAGAATGGTATGCATTGTTCATTGATGAAAACAACATATCATACAACAAGAAAAGATGTTTTTATAAAAACTGTCACTACAATTTTGGTCCAACCTAAGCTTTACCACATAATTATCACAACTGACTTTTAAATGATAAATATCTGATAAAAAATATCAAATTATCTACATGTCTAAGGACAGTTAGAACTGTTGACATGGGCTATATAAGAAAATAGGAATACTGCTACAGACAAACACGTAGGAAAAAATATTCTTTAAGAATGTAATGTGTATCAGGATATGCATGTAAAATTATTTGATTTTACAATTACAAAAGCTGGTAAAAATGCATGTACTGGAAAAAGAAGTAAAATTATTTTGATTGTGGAACATGCTAAATGTGAATTTTGGTTCCAGAATTTTGTTTCTGTGAATACTTCATCAATAATCGGTCTGAATATCTTCCTGTAAACATAGGACACAATGTCTCAAATTGCAAACAAATCTCATCGAATTGGTGTTCGCATCTTTAATTGGGGTTTAAATAACTATATCCTCCATAACTGTGTATATATTTCAGAAGATATGGGTCTAAAAAATTGCTATTCCATTCAGGACTGGTTTTTTAAACTTCACCTTCCTAAATTCTTAAAAATTCCCAGATTAGAAATTCTATAGAAAGTATGTATGTGTGCTGACAAGATTACTTTCAACTATGTTCCAAAGTAATTGACCTACAAAAAAAAAAAAAAAAGAAAAAAAAAAGATGATTACTGTTATCACTGTTGGGGAAAATGGATGGAATTCAAAGAGTATATATTAATATCAACCTCTCTTTTTTCCATTAGATCAATTTCATAATTTCATACACGGAATCTTCTGGAACTCTTGCCTGAGGAAACTGAGCAGTTGTTCTCTTTGGTCTAGCACTGCGTCTGCTGGCACTGTGACCACATGGTGATAGCCCAACAGACTCAGATGTCTGCGATGACGTTTTTCCCAGCCTAAAATTCATGGAAGAATTGTTACAGGTGAATAAATTAAAAGTCTTGGCACGCTCTATCAATATCAATTATAATAATTATTGAATAGATATACTGTGTATTCTATATTCTCAGAAGATGAGATATTGCTACAAAGGTTATTTTTTTATCATTTACTTATCATCAATACTACTCTTTGTTATTATTACTATTAAAAATAATCTGACAATCCACGAAGAGTTGAATAATTACATAGACATACTGTGTGATACCACATTCACATAAAATTAAACTGATGAAATAAGAAAATTGATAGTTATAAAAAATGACATAAAATCCAAATATACTTCTTAAAAAAGATTTTTTATATAAGACAGAATATGCACACATGCACAGTGCACCCTAAAACAATCTGATATATTAAGGCCTGATATTTTTATTTCACCCCATTTTACTATTATCTTTGTGTTTAGTTTTCCCCTCTTACCATTTACAAGAACCCTGCCATCAACACCAGACTTGTTGACAAAGAAATGCTCCTCTTTTTCAAGGATAACAGCTACCCTCCTGTTTTTTTCGGCCATCTTTGCTTTGGCGTCCATCTTCACTCTCCCATTCAAGTCCACCAAGGAAGGCACTCCAGCAGCAAGCAGATCCAAAGGGTTCCCATCTCCATCTAAACAAAATTCCACATGACAAGACTTTAAGTAAGGTAAAGTGACCAGTCTTGCTTTGTTCGTGTAGTCAAATATCTTCTGAATGGCAGCGAGCAGGATGGTATTCACGTTCAGTTCTATGGAGTCCATAATATTTGGACTAGAAATGGCTTCTTTCATAACTGACATATCATATATCTCTGCCGGTATTCTAACTGCATGCCGAACAATACCTTCAACTTCCAGAAGACCACAGACTCTGTTTAGATGAACAGGCAAAATCTTGTGATGGGCATGATCAGGATTCTGCAGCACATTCCCCACAAGTCCCATCATGCATTTCTGGCTGAAGAGCAAGTCGAAGAGACCATCACAGTTCGCCCCCAGACACAGCATGGCGTTTAATATGGGGAGCAATATCTGTGGGTGGCGATTTATTTCCAGCCTCGTCGAGGGAAGGAGTAGTAGTTCAGAGACTTTGTTCAGGAAACCAGAATGGCTGTAGTCCATGGCTGCAGAGGTATGCAAGAGTGTGGTGATCACAGTGAAGTCCGCAACTTTACCTGCTCCCTTGACGTCTCCTAGGAAACTGGAAATGACATCATCCATGAGAGCCTGGTCATAGTATCCCTTCTGTGTTAGGCGGAAAACCAGCGCTGCTCTTTGGGGCAGCTGAAATTGGCTGGTACATGTCTTGACCATGTCCCCAGCATAGGCGAGGAGAGCAATCCGTGAAAGGTAATCCACATGGGCCACGTTAATTGTTTCTATTACACCTATTAAACATTTAAAAAAGAGCTCTTCATCCGTGGAAGTTGGTTTTTTTTTTCTATCTTCACAGTGTAGCTGCCATTTTCTTTGTAGAAATTCCAACATGGGTACGACCATTTCAACAGCATTTCTTTTCAACAAGTTCTTAATCAGAATAATATCCTGTACATTTTGTAAATTAATTTCACTCATTTCATTTTTTTCATCCAGAAATATCCTCTTTTCAATAACACCAACAACATCCTTCAGCTTGCTCTTTACTTCCTTACTTAAAGGCGACTTCATTGACACACTCAACTGGTTGTGGTAGACAAGAACTTGGCACAGCAGCAATATGTCAACAATATGTAGGCGTGAGTAGGCGGGATCTAATGTAACAGACTGAAGAAAATCTTCAATCTCGCTCTTCATGAACATGTGGTCATATTTCTTGGACAAGAAAAGCCACAGCTGTGCCTGATGAATCCTTGTGTACAGAGGCCACGAATGCCAAAACAATGCGCAATGATTTTCAAGCTCCATGAGGAAAGGTTTAGAGGCAGTCTTAGTATTCAATGCCATATACAGAAGATTGTTACAGGCGACGCCACCAAGGTCAGACAAAAGATTGTTGTCCGAAAGTGCCTGGAAGGCACTAGACATTCGTTTGTTATCTTCTTTAACACTTTTCCCTCCCCATATCTTTGTCCAGAGTGCCTCTATATATCGATACACTGTCAACCAGCTGAGAGATACTCTTTGATTTCTCCTTTCATAATTCTGAATTATTTCCCTCTCTCGTGGCCCATATAAATACTTCTGCTGTTTGTGGGAGGGCAGTTCGGGCTGAAATTCCGGTGTACTTTTGCCATTTGTCTTTCTCCTCTGCTGACCAACCAAGTGGCACTGGTTTGTCTCAGCTTGAATGCAGCTGCTGCCCCCTATCCATGCTATGTGTTCTCTGGTTTGAAAGCCTGATAGCACTTTAGGCAGACGTACACGTTGGGTGAAAATCCCCCTGCATTCAATGACTAGTATACAGCGTTGGATGAAGGCAAAATACATAGCTTCCTGAAATTACCAGAACAATACACTGAGGTACGCTATACTCCTTCAAACCCCCCCCCCCCCCAAAAGTCATATCTTAAATCTGTATCCTACAAAGCTACTATACATATAATCTCTCCTTAATGTATTATCTTAAAATACAATAAAACCCCTCAAATAAGTCTGATATCACTATTATTTTTTTAATGTACAGGAAGGAATGGGAGTCTTTGAAAGGGGTCACAGGAAAGACCTGAGGGTACACTGAGTAAGAATTGCTTGTATCAAGTGCAGTTCAAATTGTGCATTGCGTTAATGATTGTCCTTTTGTAATTTCGTGCACCATTCAGGTAACGTCTTACCTGTTTCTACCAGACAAGCTACAGAGCTCTCATATCAGATCTTCATGTTCACTAATAATTTCCATCATCTGCAGTACAGTCGAGACAACACGTCCAAAAGTTCTCAATTCTGCTGGTTAAGTGGTGCTCGTCTCCAGCCCTGTAAAAGAAAACTTGGAGTGAACAGAAAGTTTGTGAATCATGGCATCAGTGGAAGGGTGGGTTGGGGGGGGGGGGGGGGCTCTGGGAACTTCATGTGTGGTATGGTGGGGGTCCAGAACAGACAGAAATTTATTGCACAACAACTAAGGGCCTTTACATAAGATAAATCATAAATGCTAATAGAAGCAGGATCAATAATAATTTCAACATTTTCATTTCTTATTTATTTCCAGGCCCATAATAGCTAGCAATTCCAAAAGGGGGGTTCTTTTTCTAAAAAAGTGAACCTTTTACCATGAAACCTTCATGTACCTAGATAACATTTTACCCAGAGGGGCCTTTTCCCAGCAAAAAAGGGGGGGGGGGTCTTTCGAACCCCCCCCCCCCCCCACACACACACACACACCGACTGTTAATTACGCAATTTACTAGAACGTGTAAGGCCAAATACTGACGTGCAGCCTACAAAAATTTACCATGTTATGTCCGACACAGCGACCTTCTTACTTGCAGTGGTTATCTGACCTCCGACTTTCCTTCTAGACACATTCGCCCATCATGAAAGATGCAGTGCACTAAGTACTATCACATGCTTATAAAAGAACACGTTTTTCGGAAGGGGGGAAGTACACTCTAATTTCCAACACGCGGAGTGAAAACTTGCTATTTATCCTGATTCTTTTCCCATTCTAAGGGTTTTGTTAAAAATTTATCTAATTTAATTTTCAATGCTGTTCATTCACAAACTTATAATAAAGGTAAAAGATTATTTATTGTTGGTTTATTAGTAAGTTTAGTGTCATTCCTCCTAACGCCGGAGGTAGTCCTGATTGTAGACAAACTCAAACCGGAAAAGGCAGCCCAGCTAAAACCAAAACAAAGCGAACTGCTGCCAAAACTAAATACTGAGATGGTCTTTATAGTTTGGCCATTTTAACTTACCTATACCTGCACCATCGCATAATTTAGAAGAGTGAAACTTGTGAAAGATGCCCTGTGAATCAGGTGAGTCTCTCTCGCTCTCTCTCTCTCTCTCTCTTTCAGAAATTTTTGTACTGCGGTAAATCGGATCACACAGGATATTTGAGGGCTACTCTAAACTCTTAAATTTTAATATCTTTTCTAAATTATGTGGTTTTTTGAGCAATGTTTGTGCTATTCGAATGAATTAGTTTGGCAACTCAGTTACTAATTAATGATGTTTTTTTTAACTATTACTCTAATTTATTCTGTTCCATTCAAAAATTAACTTTTTGTAAACTTTTTGGCCAAAGAGCTTGAGGGTTTAATAAAAGAAAATGAAATATAGTTAACTGTTAAATTAATTTATTTTTATAAGACATTGATCCAAGTCAACACATAAATTTGATAAAAATTAGAAAATTAGTAGTTATTTGGGGGGGGGGGGGGGGGGCTGCAAAAAGACCCGTTCCCCCCCTGAAAAAAAAAAAAAAAAAAAAAAACCCTTTTTTTTTTTTAGGGGGAAAAAAATTTTTAAAAAAATCCCTTCCCAGGA